AGTAGCTTCTTGTTACTACTAGCTTCTTGTTACTACTAGTAAGGCACTTGTTACTAGAAGCGATGCACTTGTTACTAGCGTCCTGGAGATGAATAGATCGGGTGGAACGACTGGGTAGAACCAAGGATCACCTTCTTCGCAACTTGGGACGGGCAAGAAGAAAGCTGTCGAAAGGACATGAAAGGACGCGCTGAATTTCCTCAAGGTGTTTGTCTTTGTTGCGAGCCAGCCTTTAGCTAGATGCCAGAAGAAGATCTTCAAGAGGATCGACATCATTTTGATTCTCCGACCCAACCAATACCGCCAGCATCCCAGCACAAAGCCATCTCTACTTGAGCAGGTCCAAGAGTGTCTCAAGTTCCGATGCACCCGAGACATCTTGTCCATCACGCTAGTAACAAGTGCCACGCTAGTAGTAACAGGTGCCTTACTAGTAGTAACAAGGACGCTACTAGGGGCTCCTGGCATCGCTACTAGTAACCATGTTCGCTACTAGGGGCTCCTGGCATCACTACTAGGAGCAAGAAGCCACTAGGTTGGAGGCCATAGCTAGGCTGCTCCCATTACATTCCTGTACTTGCGGTCTCTGCCTCCCGGTTCTGGGCTGTGGCCAGGCGCCCACCACGCTCGCCCAATAGGGTCAGCAAGAGACCTCATACATGGAGCATGGGCAGAATGAGAAGCATGAGCTGTCTCCTCGTTCTCCCTTCTACTAGTTGCTAGGAGCAAGGGCATTGCTACGAACAGTGCATTCTTGTTCTGTCTTTCTCTTCAGACCTTTAGAGTCGTCTTTTTGTCCCTTTCTTACGAGGTGGTCCACATGTTCAGTGCATGAGGAGCTAAGAAATTGCTGGGTCATTCATCAGGGTTGTCCGAGCCTTCACTGGTGATTGGGTTCACCTTTTCAGTGAGTGACACCTTTTCAAAAAAGACCAGTTACATTCTCGCTGCGACCTCTGCCAAAAGATCATCTACCTCTACCTGAAAGTCTGCCTAACAAGGAACGCACAAGCAACAAGGACACTCGAACGCATATTCCATTCTCCCATTAGCGGTGCAGTCCAGCCACAGCAGCCCAGCGCGAACCAGTCCCGTGCTGCCATCCGCTTCGCCCGAGCCGACCGCGCCTTACACTTCAGAACAGGGTATCATGAAGCATTAAGGAATCGAAGCTACTAGTAACAAGTGCCACGCTAGTAGTAACAAGTGCCTTACTAGTAGTAACAAGAAGCTATGAATTTAATTTGTTACTACTAGTAGCATTAAGGAATCCTAATTGCAATGGCCTCCAACCTAATAGCGATGGCCTCCACGCTAGTAGCGATGGCCTCCACGCT